TTTTTAATCACCTTTTTATTTGTTTTATTTAATTATTTCATATTATTTTTTTAAATTTGTATTTATTTAATTTTATTTTTTTATCAATTTAATTTTTTTTCCACCTAACTTTATTGCTATCACACAGGAAAAAACAATCCCCTGTGTGATAGCAATTGGAGGTGACGGGGTAGGGGGGGAGGCTGCACACTGTTTACATGTGATCTCGGCGACATCGCCGAGTTCACATGTAAACAAAAAAATGTCTGCCTTACTTTACATTTGGTCCCGCTTGTACAAAGCAGGACTGAATGTAGAGCGTGCAACTTCCCCACAAGGACACCATTGCCGCCCCTCTGCGCCCTGCCGCCCCGAGGCCGGGCCTCGATGGCCTTGTGGGGAATCCGGGCCTGGCTAAGAGCCACAGTAACATACATTTCCTGTGTACCTTTGTCTACATTTCATTCCACCTTCCTAATATCTACCGCTGTAATCACACAGACAGAAGCACTGCGCTCAGAAACATGCACACTGTTTTTTTCAATACTCCCTCACAGATTCACACCTCCTCCATAATGTCCTGCCCACATTCCAACCCAACTGTCTACTGCCTATCTGAGAGCATGAAGCCCAGTTGCATCTCTGACATGTGGTGAAAACCATTATGGGAGATGACCCAGAGTGAGATGACTTGGAAGCACAAAAAACAGCAGTGCTTTTAAAAGTAAGAAAATATTTTTGGAGCACAACAAATCCTTTTTATTTATTTCACAATGCTTGTTCTGAATGCCTAATGTGATGCTGGTGCCTTTAGATTTCATTCAATGTGCTGTGAAATTAATTATTGTAGACTTATCCAATCAAACAGTGCAAACTAAAATTCAGAAACCAGAGCAGCAAGTGAAAATCCTATAGGACCTTGCAAAGGAAAGGAGCCACCCTAAAACAGGATATCAGGGCCAGTGCTTAGGGGACCAGCTGATTCTGGGAATCCAGGAAACAAAAACTCTTAAACATCAAGCAGCACCCATTATAAGTGATTTCATTTGAAATAGCCTAAAAACCTTTTAACATATCACCTTAAGTTCTATTGCTAATAGACTGATAACAAAGTTCACATTAATACACATGAGGCTTTAATACTGTCAGTATACACAATTTAGTTTTTTTTTTATTTTGGAACATTTTACAGATATATAGGAAGAAACAGTGTTGTGGAATGGGCACTATTTCATCTTCAGATGCAGATCCACAGCAGGCATGACTTGCTCTTCAACATCAGCAGCTTTTCAAAAAACAACATGGTAGGTACAGGGATGTTCTTTGGATCGCACCTATGATAAATCAACAGGGTTTCATGAAAAGCAGACATGTCAAATGTTGAATTCCAGGCCAGATCTATTATGTTTACTGGAGCTCATGCAGTAATGGAGTATTTTTGCCCTGTTTCCAGTCTTCAATAATAACATCAAATTACAGCTGGGCCTAGGGTACTCCAAGCTACTTCCCCAATTCAGTAGCCCCAATTTGTTCCACAACATTAACAAACAATAGCGCATAGTTCTTGCTTTTATGAGATATAAAAGCAGTGCCCAACCTCAACCTACATTTTGTTTCATGTGCTGTTTCCTAAATAGCTGATTATTTAGCCTGATTGCACTTGGTTCTCCTTTTATTGTGCCTAGCAGCATTTGTCTGGTCATTATGACTTTAGGTATACCGTGATATTTATCAATGCAGAGTGACATTACATTGATAAAATCATTTCATTATGTAAGCAAGCAATTACATATTTAAAGGGACACTGTCATGAAAGATTAATGGATGCTGACATTCTCTCCTTTAAAAATTATATTCTCTCTTTTGAGAATGCTAGTTCCCTGGCTGTCATTCTAAAGCTTTGACTTTTAATGAGTCGCTGACACAGAACAAGTATAGAGATAAAAGTTCTGACACTTGTTCTGACACACTAATTTACAGCATGCTTGATCTGGGAGTGTGACTAAAAGATATGAAAGTCAGACACAGGCAGGCATGTAGCATTTTCAGAAGGAGACCTGCAATGGCAGCCCCATAATTCTCTCATGACAGAGTCACTGCAATCACAATAGTTGTGTCTGCAATAATCTAATCACAATATTTGAAGCTGTCCCAGGCACTTGGTCAGTCTTTAGGCGTACCCAGCTTATGATCTGTTACTATGTTAGCGATTGTAAAATTAAACACAAAAACTTTTTTAAAAAACTGCCTAATAGTCACAAGGGATATAAATCAATTGTTTTTTTAAAACCCAGCTATTACCATATAAAATAGCAGTGACATCATCAGAGTGTTATACATAGCCTGAGCAGAGAACAGAGCTGTGGGAAGGGCCCAGCAGGCTCCACCCACTACAGCCTACCTGCAGAAAACTGCGGGAGGGGGCGGATACAAGACCAGTCACCCTGCACAAGAACAGAGTGCAGCGGTGACTGGTCTTTACAGGAAACCCTTGCAGAAAGGGAATGTTATCACACTGGATTACAGCACAGAGCTGGAAGATATACACAAAGCACACAAAAATTCAAAGATTTACTGGCAAAAGTGTTGCACTATTTAAACGACCTCTCTTGGATCTGGGGCTAGACTGTATGCACTTAGATGTTTTATGCACAGGACATTTAGACATTGTGGCAGATATAAGGGAGGATTGTTACATTTTCTAGGGAGATTATCAATTTTTTTTTGCATATATACACATAGGAATTTGTATTGCACTTTTTATTTTGTGATTGTTGCACTTTATAATTGCTGTTTTTACACTTTGATATACCAATATTTGGCACTTTAGATATTTTGCATATAACACTTTGAAAGAGGTAGTAGAAGTGATATAAAAAGCGCCTCGCTTTTGCGATTAAGTCTTTGATTACAAGTATGTAGTACTTTTAGTGTAGGCAGCTCTTAAGGGCTGATGCAGACCCGGGCGATCCCGGGATGCGCTGTCCCAGGACCGCGCGATCATGTGATTTCAAAGGGGTTACATCCGCACGGCAATCGCTGAAAAAAGGTACATGTACGGTACGGGCGAAATCGTGGCGGCAAACCGCACAATCTGCCCGTCACGACTGGGGTACCATTAGAAAAGAATGACACCTCCAGTGCGATTTGCGGTGGTGTGCGACTCTGTGACCGCAAGGCAATCCGTGCGGTTTCATGCACGGTTGCCGCACGGTCATGGATTGTGCAAGTGTGAGCCTGGCCAAAAGGAGAGACTATTATTAAGGCTAGTGCAGAAGTACATTTGTATCAAAATGAATACACATGCCTCTTGTATGTAGACTTGTATGTAGACAGTTTTAATGGATGACGAATAAGCAGTATATGTTCACTGCATGGTTATTTAGTAGTTAATGTTGATGACTGGCATATTGGAGGAGTCTGGATTACAGTTTTTAACAGGATGAACATGGAAAGCAACCCAATGATTAAAATTAGGGATGCACCGATACCGTTTTTTTGGTATCGAGTACAAGTACTGATAATATTTTTTCCCCATACTCGCCTATACCAAATACCAATACCGGAAGTCCCATTAAGGAAGCCAGGCGGCATGTAATGACTCGCCACCTGGCTTCCTGGTTGGCCAGCTTCTCGACCAATCAGGGAGCCAGGCGGCCAGTCATTGCACGGCGCCTGTCTTCCTGATTGGCCAGAAAGCTGGCTCCATGCTGCTTCGTCACGAGGTGATGAGGGAGCATGAAGCCAGCTTTCTGGCCAATCAGGAAGCTGGGGGGCGGGTAATGACTCGCCGTCCGGCTTCCTTATTGGCCAGCTTCCTGACCAATCATAAAGCTAGGTGGCGAGTCATTACACGCTGCCTGGCTTCTAGATTGGCTAGGAAGCCGGCTCCATGCTCCCTTGTCGCCAAGTCACCAATAACTTTCCATGCATACAGAATCTCAATCCATAAAATGCAACATTTAAAGCGGCGCTATCCCTGCACTGCAAGGGTTAAGTGCTGTTTTTTTGCCTAGGGAGCTAAAATAACAAAGTTATACTCACCTGAACCGCAAACCAGGCTGACTCCTAGACCGGTCCCTTCAGCCTCGGTCCAAGGTCCTGTAAATCATCACATTCTGTACAGTGTATAGGACGTTAGGATGCCGAGGGATAGACCATTGGAGCAGAGGAAGAGACAGGCTGCAGGGAGCAGTTTAGGAACCAGACAGAATCGTTGTTCGGGTAAATATAACTTTATGGGAAGCCCCACTGCAAGGGTTAAGATTTAATTCGCTTGGAGTTCTTTTTTAATGAGAACCTCTACTGAGGGAAACAGAGGAGTTTTCATTGTTGACTTCCTTTTGCCTGGTAGTCTTTGACTAGAGCGTTGGAGTCAGAATTCCTTATCTGCATGCCCGTGCTTTAGAAAGTTCTTAAGCTATTATGACTGCATGACGGCCAGGCTACTAGCATTTTCAAAGGAGAAATGAACAATGACAGTCTAACTACAGTTTTCCTTTAAAATAGGTATGTTGATTGGTGACTCTTTGTGGTTGATTTACTAAAGGCAAATAGGCTGTTTACTTTGCAAAGGAATTTCCCCTTAGCTTAGTGAATGAGGTGATGTTCTGCTGAACTCCATCATCCAATCATGTGCAAGCAAAAATACTGCTTTTTTTAAAAATTTTCCATGCACATGATCGGCTATTCTTTGCAAAGGGAATTTTACCACATTAAATAAGCAAAGGGAAATTCCCTGTCAAAGTGAAAAGCTCATAGCAAAGTGAATAGCCTATTTGCCTTTATTAAAGCTACCTCATTGATTATAAACCCAGGGGGTTTGTGGCCCCGAGCCATCAATACGGTAAGAATGACAGGTAGAAGACAGACTATGTATATGGAAAGGTATCACTAGCATGTATGTATGAAACGTACGGAAGAGCCCTGGGGAGATGCTAAAAAACTTCTCAAACAAAAAATAATCTCAGAATTCTGACTTTGAAACTCAGAATTTGGTTAAATAATTTTCTAGCATGGCCCCAGGGCTCTTCCATAGAAAACAGATCTTTCAGCAATCAGATCACTTACAGGTATGTACAGCTATAGACACCTGTAAGCAGCTTTGTATTGTGTTCAATGAAATACAGGAAGAGTATATTGCAGAGTAAAATAACTGAAGGAAGTATGTGTTCATGTTTTGTTAAAACAATTGTAACCATCTCCACCGCATACCCTAATAATGCATGTCCAGCAAGCTTTCTGCAATATCACTGGTGGCTATGGAGATAATTACAGTCAACACAACTTGGAAAACTTCTTGTATTGCAGAGGAAGGATTTTGAAAAGCTAAAGAGCCTGTTATCTATTTGTCCGAAGCAAAGAACTCAGGAAAACCTCAGACAGGTATCAGAAAAGCCTTGTGTTTGTTCTTCTAATATTGATTGACTATTATAAGTGCTGCTGTGAAGAATTAATTACTAACACATGTCATCCATGACTGCAACTGACTCAATACATTGTACTTATCAACTGACCTGCGTTCCTGCCTTCTGACACACTGAACTAAATAAATAGAAGTAAGGGTGCTAAGTATTATTGACACACACTTCCTGTTCACTTGCCAAGAAATCCCAAAGTAGCTTTTACATGATGATGACAACTGGCCACACACTGTGAGTTATAGTACATCTATGCTGTGCATTGTTAAACCAGAACTTCAGGCAACATTTTGATTAACCCTTGCAGTGGGTCTACCCCCGCACTGCGAGGGTTAACTGCTCATTTTGATCTAGGGAGGAAAAAAACAGTTATACTCACCTGATCCTCTGAGATGGCTTGCTGTGACAGCACTCCCTGCAGCTTGTCGCCTCCTCCACTGCAGCAATGATATGTCCCTCAGCATCCTCATGTCCTTTACACTGTATAGAACATGATGACTCAGGGAGCTTAAAGCACTGCAGTGGAGGGGAGTGAGGTTGGAAGGACTGGTCTAAGAGCAAGACGGCTCGAAGGAGGAGGATGAGGTGAGTATAACTGTTTTAGTTTCCTCCCAAGACCAACATGAGTGTTAAAGCCTTGCAGTGCAGGGGCACCCCCACTGCAAGGGTTAATAAAAATTTTGCTCGGGGTACTTTAAATCCTTGGTTCTCAACTGGTGGGTCGTGACCCAAAAGTGGGTCGCGACCCCGTGTTCAGTGGGTCGCCGCGAGCCTTCCTCTTTTCTAGGTGAGAGGCTCCTCAGCCTCCCACTAGCGCAGCAATGTCCGTTCTCGCGCTGAGCAGACATTAAGAATATGAAGCCTGGCACAGAGTGTCAGCTTGAGGTGCAGTGGGCTGGAGCTATGGCCGAGAGGAAGCTGGAATGCCATGTGTTCCATTGCAGTGCAATGGGTCGCAACGTAATTACCAAGGACAAATGTGGTTCCTGAGGTTACACAGTTTGAGAACCACTGCTTTAAATTATACAAACTTTTGTGAAGAGCAATGGCTGCATGGTTTACAATTAAATACATTTTTACACACAGTACACAAAACATTCAGAAAGAGCCTCACTCCCCCTCTGCTGCAGCAGTCTAAGTCATCACTTTCTATACAGTGTATAGGACATCAGGAAACTGAGGAACATAGCCAGTTGAACTTTTATTTAACCCCTTATTACATTTATGCAATGGGCCTATTTATTAGGCAGCAAACAGTTAATTAACACAGCGCCAACGGCTTAAGATAATCTGCAGTAATCGTGGTGTGAAACACAAACAAGGCAGGCTCTCAAAAATAGGCTTTAGGGAAACCTCAACTCTGGAAAACAAAACACAGAGAGCGCCTCCATGGCGTAAAAACTTTTTAATAAAGTAAATTTAAACAGATGCAAACATACTCACAAAAGTCGAGTTTAAAAAGCATGAAACGATAAAGGCATGAGAGACTTAACCCGCCGGCTAGTCTTCCTCCCTGATGGTTAACGTTTCCGAGGTCACGCCTCCTTCGTCAGATGTATCATTTGTAAGGACAAACACGACTTTCTTTTGGTGATATTGTCTTAAAAAAATGTATGCAATCCAATTACAATCAATTTTTTTAACTTTGTTAGGTAATCTACAGACTACAAATATGTATCAAAACTAAAAGAAGCACTTTCTTTCTAATTTGATCAATGTTAGATTAAAAAAGGGTTTATGTAGATTAAAAGTTTACATTTATTCTATAAAATCAGCAGGAAAATAATAGCTAAGGGGGGAAAGGAAAGAGGTGTATTAGGACTAATTAGGGTACACTAGGAATTAATAACAATAACAAAAAACACATTTTAGTTAAAAAGTTAGTTTGCTTACATCATATGCAGATCGAAGCTCATCCCTTTTGATCTGCAAAAGGATAAAACAGAGTACATACAAAAGTAACAATGTTACTTTGTATTTATCTATGAAAAATGTTTATGAACACTGTCAGAAGATCCATTTTTTTTAATGAAGCAGCAGCTAAAATAGTTGCTGTATTTACACACCAACTCCCCTCTGTCTTGACAGCTGGTAATGGCTGGCAATAAGGGAAGGGAATTGGCAGGAGTGCAGAAGGACAAGGTGAAATACAAACACCCTGTGCACTTGAATAAGGTTTTTTTGGGTGTGTGTAGCACGCACAATGTTCACAAATGGTTTAATCAGCTACATGCATTCCGAGTGCATGAAAACAAATGGTTGCAAAGTCTTTTTATTTTCAGTTTATTGCATGCTGTATAAAATTAACCTTGATTTCTGGGAAACAGTCATCTCTCTATAGAGGTTTTACATGCCACTGCTTAGTCAAAGCTACACAGAAGCTTGTGCTCCTCAAAAGGGGGATGCTAGACCTCTGCAGAGAGACTACTGTTTCTGCACAAAGAAAAAGTAATATGCTCCTCATACTGGTGCTAATGCAAGAATTATCCCCCTGACATTGGTGTCAGTCGAAGTAATATACCCCTCACAGAGGTGACAGTGGGAGTAGTATTCCCCTTACGTTGGTGTCAGTGGAAGAAATGTGCCCCTCACATTGGTGTCAATGGAAGTAATATGTCCCTCACAGTGGTGACAGTAGGAGTAGTATTCCCCCTCACACTGCCATCAGTGGGTGTAGGAATGCCCCTTACATTGGTGTCATAGCTGTGATGGGTCTGAGCCAGGTAGAACTACACACTGAGCAGTGAGCACCATAAACTGAAGACAGTAATCCTCTCTTACATTGTTGAAACTCACAAACATTGGTCATCAGCATCACAATCACTTGGTAGACAGCTAGTATATTTACCACAGTGCCATTGCTCCAGTTCCACGCAGCCAGGCCAGCCAGTCATACCACTTACAGCTAATCCACTCTACACTACAAGCTCTTCCACCTGTACCAGAACCCAGAAGCAAACAACTATTCTGTTGCAAATCAATTTGCCGGGGTCATGAAAAGATTGCTACTGTAGCTCAATGTCTAAAAAATTACTAATATCTAGCAAGAATGTTTGAATATGTAGGTTCAAGACCACAAGCAGATAGGGGCAACCTGTACTGAGAAAAAATTAAGGCTGCCACTAATAACCTCCTTCTGGAAATGCTAGCTGCCAATCTCCAGCTCCAATAATTTCCATTAAGTGGATAGAGGGGTATTGTCTTGTACCTGACTGGAGCACGATCTGAATAGGAGCTTCTTGCACCATGAGTCCAACTCCCCTGGAGGTTGAGAGGAGGACTCAGGGAGGTACGAGTGCCAAAGATGTTGTCTGTGGTTTGAGTGCGTTGACCAGGGTAATACATTCAAAGCAACTGTTGTTGTGGGAACTTGCGGTACCATGCGTTGCAAGGTCAGAGTGGAGTCGAGCTGGTAATCGGGGTCGTGGTCCCAAGGCGGTGTCATGCACAGAACGATCAAATACACAGGTGAGGTACTGAATCGATGGTCAGAAGCAGAGTCAGCATCACAGGCTGGAGTCATACATGGGTAAATCTGGAGCTCAAATGAAGTACCAAATTAAAAGTCCAAAAGCAGAGTTGTAGTCGTTAGCCAGGGTCATGCACAGGTAAATAGAGCCACAGGAAATGGCCCTGGCTACAGCATGTTTGTCCATAATCCTGAGGACAGGGCCATGCGCATGTACCCGTACTGGCCTCTTGGTAAGTACCTTACAGATATAGTGTCAGAAATAGCAGCCTATGTACCTTCCACAACACAGCTTTTATTTTGAATGTTGCATGCGTGGTCCAGGTCATCGATGTAGTAAAGGCAGAGACATCCAGGCAACTAGCATTTTCAGACGAAGGTCAGTTGTGGCAGGTCACATTTTATTTTGAGAACAGGTTTCTTTTGTGAGGATAGATTTACATTTTTACACAAGAGAACAATGTGTCCCACTCCAGGAACTTCAAAATGTAGCATAATACAGTAACAAATAACATAACCATGGTGTTCTTTTAGTTTTTCCTGGATCAGCCTCTGCTAATAAACAAAGGGTGTCTGAAAAGTTGCCTCCTCATCTGCTGCTTTGGTCTGATTCATGATTACCCACACTATGCCTTTGGCTTAATTGCAGACAAGCACAATAACATGGAGCTGCACATTTGAAATGGCCATTGGTTGCCTTTTCTGACTCCATGTTAGTATGCTAACTCATTAGCTTGCACAAGGAGTTCAAATGTGGAATCTGCCATCTAGCATGGTTGCCAAGAACGTGGTTGCTGGGTCTACCTATGAGCCACCTATGAAAAAGCCATGTTACCCATCTCAAGTTACTACATGGACTATCCCCATATCTCAACAGCTACCCAAGGTCACCACTAAGGAACCCCACCATATTAAAACTCAAAAACAATGAGAAATAATGTAATAGCATTTGGCACATATAATAGTCATAGGTAAGGGAGATGACATAAATGACACAAGAAGAATGGCCCTTTAAACAGGGAACCTAAATATGAAGGGAACACCCCTTTACAAATAAACACTCATCCTGCAAGAATGTGCACTTTCTTAGGGACATCTGTGAAGGTATTGCATTGTTTTAGGTTGTTAAAAGCCAATTAAAACCACTATAATGTTTCACAAACTGTGTAAAAGTGTTAAATAAACCATGTTTTCTAGTAATAAGGTTTCCAATTCATCAATGTGCATTATGGAACTAGCATTTCTCCAGAGGTTTGAATAATCAAAAATACTTTATTCCTGTAAACATGAAAGTTTGGGAGAACAAAATGTTTCCCAGTAAAAGAGGACTACAGTTAAGACAGATGATCTTTGGCAAACTTACAGAAAGGAGAGACCTTAACATCATACCTCCCAACTTTCTGATATGAGAAAGAGGGATACCGTATAGCACAAAGTATGTAGGCAGAGGACAAACCCCTGCCATGCACCAGCTATGTGCACCATGAAGAATAATAAGCACAAAAATGATTGGTGAAAGCCACAATTACCGGTACTTTTTTTCATTATTACTTTCCCTTTGTACTGGCCTTTCAAAATAATAAATCAATAATAAAAAGGTCCATGTAAAAGGTTTAGTGTAGCATATAACACTTAAAGGAGAACTATGGGGTTAGGGCTTTTCCCCATAGTTCTCCTTAGGGTAACGGGAGGACACAAACTAACGTCCTCCCGTCACCCTAAACTCAGTATACCGTGAGCTACAGCTACTAAGACGCCGCAGTATACCACGAGCTAGAGCAATTATGTCTGGATCCGCCCATCTGCATGAGTGACAGCTGTCTCTGCCTATCTAGAGGCAGAGCCAGCTGTACCCGCCCCCTCCTCCGTCCGTTCCGCCAATCAGGAGGATCGGAGCGGGGAGGGGGGAATCCAGCCCTTCCCCTGTCACGGCAGAGAGCCGTGACAGGATCGAGAAGTAAGCGAACGCCGGTATGTGTTTGCTCACCTCCCGATCTACTGAGTCGACCTGTGACAGTCTCATTGTCACAGGTCGGCTAGAACTATGAGGTGAGTGAAAAGCACTCACCTCATAGCTCTCCTTTAACATAGTTAAATAGTGCATTTTTATCGAAGTCTATAAATCAGTCCAAAAAGAAGGACATCTGAGGAAGAAAGAGGGACAAGGGGTATTTGGTTCCAAAAGAGGGACAGTTGGGAGGTATGTTAACAAGCAGAAAGAAAATAAAACCAGTGAACGTACACCCTTGTGAGTAAAAATCTGAATCTCCATTCCAGATAAAATATATCTAATACTGTACATGGTTGCCTGCTTTAAAAATCAGATGAGCATATTCTGGAATATATTATAGCAGGAACAGAGGTTCTGATTTAATGAGGCTACGTGCCCCTGCTGTTCCTATACTTTTTGCATTTCAACACACAGGTTAATTGAACTATCTGCTTGCTGATTCACATGCAACTACAATTTGTTTGGCATGTTCTGTGCATAACTTGTCAAGAGATCCCTTTACAGTAGTTGAGAGCAAGTTCTGCTAATCAAGGAAATTGCCTGGATGTACCTTTATTGTGTATAATGGCTTCATATGCAGGACATTGCTTGTTTTTTTATATCCTGATATAGGAAACTAATCTTAGATGTGAGAGTATTTAGTTCATCCTGTCGATTCATATCATAGGCTTACAAAGAGCTAATTAAAGAAAAAAGAAAAGAAACAAAAAACTATATATAGTGTGTGTGTGTGTGTGTGTGTGTGTGTGTGTGTGCGTGTCTGTGTGTTTCACTTTTTAAAATTCTACTGAAGTGTGGGTTTTGCTAAGGGTTCTTTTCCTGCAAATTCAGAAGTGCTGGCAGTTCTGTTTACAGGTTATCATTCCTTCCCTGCTTTTATGTTAGCTTTCCCTGATCATTGTCAGAGGTTTCGGAAAAAATTGTTCTTATTACCCATGACAACAAATTTTCTCAGTGCAGTATGGAACAATGACAGCCCAAAACTACTTGCTATATGAAAACAACAACCCATACATCCTAATGAGAGATCTGTCAGGAAACCCAAGAAATAACTTTTATCAAGAAAGCTGAAATGAAACATTGAAAGTAAAGAAATGTTGTTTTATTTTTAAAGATTCAACTTTGTCTGAAGAAGAACAGAGCATTTCAAGGTTTTAAGGACACGATTCAACTGGAGCTCTGTCAGTATGTCATATATCAAGCGTATGTATATGGCATACTTTTACTTGTGCTGTTGATGTTGAATTTGAAATTGAATCTGTGTTAAGGATTTTTCAGCAAAGCGGGTAAGACTATCCTAGCAAACATGTGAAAATTTAAAGCTGGACTCCAGGGAGTAAAAAGCATTACCCTTGTAGTGGGCACCCCATTGCACTACAAAGGTTAACAGGGTAATTGTTTTCCCCCTGGAGTTCAGCTTTAACCTGCTGGCTGGATATGAAAATGTAAAATATCCATATAGAATGTTTTGTGTCTACTTGAGTTAGATAAAACAAAATATTTGATTTATAGTCTTGGCCATTATAAAATATACAAAAAAACACTACATATTCAAAGTTTTTTTTTAATGCTTAAAGTTTTGATCCAAAGTCATGGATAAAAAAAAATACTTATACACTGCTGCAGAGTTTGATTTCTGCACCGAAAACAGTTCAGGGGCCGGGCTGAGTTGCCAAGGGTTAACATATTCTATAGCATATTGGGCCAGCAAATGGTGGCGTAGGGTAGAGACACATTCTTCCTTTCAGACATTTTTTAGAATGACACTTGCAGTTACTGACAGCTGTGATCACAGTGATTGGCCCTCCTCATTTTCATCCTGAGATGTTACATGACCTATTGTAGAGAGTCACAAATGAAATCAGTGATTGAGGACTTCCCTCTGCCAGACACAGTGATCTCAGGTCAGAGCTGGAGCAGCTTTCTGTGAAACAAGAACTGCAGGTGCCACTCTAAGGGCCTGTGTTGACTGAACTGGAGAGACATTTTAAAGTGCAGTATGTAATATCAGTGATATATACTTTGTGTTTACAGGTATGAATCAAAAACATTAGTCTTAAAACAAGGTCACATACCACGTGAATGTTATATAATATTATCTGGAAGTTTAGCTTCACTCACAGAAGACACAAGATCAAGAATACAAAGTAAAAGGTCTTTATATGAAGTAGAAGAAGGAGACATTGTGGGGGTAACTATTCAAATATTTTGTTGTACTGTATTGTATTTTGTTGTACTGTAGTACTGTAAAGAAGGAAGCACAAACAGAGCCAAATACTCTACAGGGGAAACCACTTCACGGCAGCAGGCACCTACTCACAGAAAATTACTTTGCTTGGCTAGGCCTTCCTCTCCAGCTACCATTCTGTGTATTGGTCCTTTATGTATTCAGGCTCTTTCAAACACATGTTCATTGATGGTGGGGTGAAGATCACAGGTGAGCTTTACCTAACACTAATCATATTACCTCATGCAATCAGTTGGAATCCACACATGCACAATTCTTGTATGGCAGACCGATGTTGAAATGAAGTAGATCTCTATACAAGCATGTTGTTTTAGTCAACTGGTTGAATACAGTTTTATGTTAACAAAGAGAATTTGAGGCTCAGCAGGGATAGCTGTAGTAAGAGGGTCACTTTGGTTTTACTTGAGAGCTATTAGTTGTTTCACATCCATCCAAATGTTGAAATTCAGCTGGTGGACAAATAACCAGGGGACGTGGCACTCTAACAGACAACACCCAAGTCCGGGTGGGCCACTCGCAATGGGAGGATTCCATATCTTAATGTTTTAAGCAGCTTTCAAAAAAGTGGACCTAAAGTATATCTAAAGGCATACATTTTATCTTAGATTTGCATAGAGAAGTAAAGGGTTAGGACCACTGTCACCAGAAAAGAAAGTGAGGGTAAATCTAAAATGTTAAGTTGCCACCAGAACAGGAATAGAGAAGATATTGTCCAATGGACAGACTTGTTCTCATGACAACTGTCTAAGATGAGATTCTTTACACATTGGAAAGATAACCTCTTACTTCCTGTTGAGTAATCTCACAGCCAATGGCCGCTTCAGCTCACAGTGATCACCTCAGGTGATCCCTCTTCCTAGCTGCCCTCTGGGATTGGTTGAAGGCAGTCTGCAGCTGGCTGTAATGTCTACAGAGGTAACAAACCAAGAAAACAGAACACGGAATCTTTCCAGAATCACTGAGCTGTCCTTGCAATATGTAATCCCCTCTCTTTAGAACCACAAAATACTAACTTCGGGACACATACTGTATAGTATATGAACTGGAATTCCTACCAATGGAAAGTTTAGATAAGTGTGAAAATCATGCAACTCTACAATTTTTTTTTCTGAATATATACTGTGCATGCAGTCTAATGAGACATGTAATATATAATTCACAATTCCTGGTTGCCAGGATTTTGGAATCGCAGGATTTTCCATTGATCAAACAGATCTAAATGTCAGAATTCAGGGGAATCAGCAAAAGATAAATGCATTATTCTCTTGATTGATTCATCCCTGGATTTGTCTCTGAAGTAGCACTTAACTTGATTTGAACAAAAAACTATCAAAATAATAGCATGTGTGGTAGGAATGCAAGGAATGAATAATCGTTCTCAAAAACACCTGTACATTTCTGTGTTACCTTTTGGCAGGATATCGCACTTGTCACCGGTGAAAGACTAACCTCCCTTGTATGTAAATCCGATGTGGAACTTCTAGTAATTGACAAAGAGGTATTATAATCACAAATGTTGTGTGTGTGCCCCTTTACTTTGCAGTATGGCGGTTGATTTATTGTGCTTTTAATGAGTAGATAACCCCTTTTAAAGAAGAACTAATGGAAAATATGGAAAAGTAAATATGTCCAGATCTGTATTAGAGAAAAATACTACTTGAAACATACATTTTACATTGTAAGCTGTCACAAAAGGGCCCTCCTAACCCTCTTGTCCTAAATTGTTTTGTAACTGTACTGTCTCCCTTTATTTTGTAAAGTGTTGGCACTATATAAATCTATATAATTATAACATTAATAATAATAACAATAATCATCTTTATGTTATTTCCCCACAGTCCCTTGGCCAAAAGACACCAGACTAAATCTGGCCATACACTGCTCAAATTTCGGCCGAGTCCTGCTGACTCGGTGGTCCGAGCCGGTCCAAAAATTGGTGATTCCAGTCACTGTTCAGGTATTCTGACAGTGGCACACCTATCGCTGTCATAATACAGTACATAATCATGGGGGGATTCCCTAATCCTTGCGGTTAACGTGGATGAAAAAATCAAGCACATGCTCAGAGTATGGCCCAGTGTGTATGGTCAGCTTAAAGTAATATTAAAATCAAAAGTTTTTTTAACTATTTAAAATGCTAAATAAATCACTTACAATGGAAGCTGCTCCTTGGTTCTAGCAGAATCAACTTGTCCCCTGAACACTGGCCAAAATATTCTGTTTTAGTGTGGTTCATTTCCCTTGTAGGGTCCTATGGAGCCACCCTTGTGTGTGCTAGTAAGCTGTGTGTCTCCACAAACACACAGACACAACAAGGCAGGATACTCTCCCCCCCCCCCCTTCCCTTCTCCAATCTAGTAGATGGATGACTGCTGGAGGACGAGAGCACAAGGTTAAAAGAGAACTAAAGCCAAACCTTTTCTTTGGCTTTAGTTTTCTTTTGGGTCACAGGAGGAAATTTACTAATATACTCCAGTGAACCAATCTCAGCATATAGTGGGCTACTGCTCGCTATTTGCTGACAACTCAGAACCGTTCTGCAACCGGGAAAGATCCCAACAATATTGCCCTTGAGCACTGAAGGAATAGAGAAAGGGGAGTGGAATCCCTGCAGGGGGCGGTTGACTGACAGTCACCACTCTCTGCAGGGAGAAGATCTTGAGCTGAGCGATCAGCAGTTCATGATCACTCAGCTCTCGATCTATAGAACTGCCATGTGACACATGCAGTGGCACACGCTCTCTCTAAATATCGGGAAGAATTAATTTTACTCTCCCAATACTTCTCCTTTAACCTCAGCCTTGTAATTATGTTCATTCAAATCAATGTATTTCACTGTTTGCCTGAAGTTTTGCTTAGATTTACTATTAAAATGAAAACAGAAGAGTTAGAACAATAAGAAATCACGTGTAAATATGGTATTGATTGATAATATACCACTGAGCATTATATTCTAAAGAGTAAAACTGCTTAAGAATGTCAAGTAACATGATTCATCAATAAAAGGGAGTATGGTGTCTGTAATGATGTTAGGATCTGAACAGATTTCCCAGAGCAGAAACCAAAGTAATTATTCATGGTTTGATAGAGTTTCGGGTCAGGAAATATAAAGTGATTATTGACCTTTATGTTACCAAGGATTTGCTCAGCTTTCTTTAGGCTCCAGTTTGTCTCCTAGTGTGTAAAGTCAGAAATGCAGTAATGGTATCTAATGGATGCATTTGTCCTATTAATTGAAATTATAGTGACACATTTGAGCTTATTCATTAAGAGTGGTATTAGTAAGTAAAGGTTAGTTATCAAGAGCAATAGTTTATTAATCCAAATTCATGTTTCACTGATTTGATTTCTCTAAACTGAAACCCAGTTGGCCGCTATGATGTGCAGCATCATTGGTCCTTGTACAGCTCACTGAATATGCCCAGGTATGCAGAATATAGAGTATGAACTGAGAGATGTGACATATTGACTTGTTATAGATGTGCTTTTTTTCTTGTATATTCTTTCAAATTGGGTTTTATTAACAGCGCACAATTCACAGACATTATACAATATGAATGAGACTAACAGAAAAGGTTACAATTCCAACTATAGAGGTAATAAGTGTGTATATCATATACCTAATAACTTGCTCATTTGAGAAAGAAGGACACATTCCAGCACACTGAGGGAAATCTAGCAAAACTGGAGCAGACAAAATCTGGAGAAGTTGCCCAGCGCAACAACCACTCAGCTTCTCTCTTCACTTTGTTCAGTTAAGTTTTGAAAATGAAAGAGAGAAGCTGATTGGTTGCCATGCACATCTGCCATAGATTTTGTCTGCTCCAGTTTTGATAAATTCCCCTCAGTGTACTTAAGTAATGGACAGTAAAACAGTAGAAAGGTATCATGGCACACTCACAAATCAGCATGTAAAACAGCATTGTCTCACCACTCAGGTTAATAACGGAGGTTTGGATACTACTGTTTTACTGTTCAAAGCCCATTTCGTGTGCACCTTACTGTATAGCTGGTGACGAATTGTTGAGTGCTTTTGTCATTTGTTTTGCTTGACCGATTTGGTGCAGTGACGCATGGGGGTTCTCAGCTGCCATTGGGATGTGCGGGATCCCTTGTGTGTCCCTGTGCCTTTAAGGAGGTTGGGCTTCCTCCTGACAAACCTGCACCCAATTTGAAATCTTCTGCCCCCATGTGCTCCAAGATGGAGACTCTCATAGTTTAGAGTTAGGACCGCACTATAAGAGGTGCCTTGGCGCGGCTGTGCGGCTTTCACATTTTCTGCAGAAGACGTGTATCCAAACCTCTGTTATTAACCTTAGTGGTGAGACAAGTTGTTTTACATGCTGGTTTGTGAGTGTGCTATGATGCCTTTCTACTGTTTTACTGTTCAAAGCCCATTTCGTGTACAATTTACTGTATAACTGGTGAAGAAGTGATGAGTGCGTCTGTCATTTGTTTTGCTTGACCGATTTGGTGCAGTGACGCATGGGGGTTCTCATTTGGCACCAAAAATGATTGGGTTAAACCCAAAAATGTTTTTTTTGTCCCCCAAATATTACCTTTCCATTTATACTGGGTTTTTTAAAAAGCAAACAAGATATTTAAGAGATAAGATAAAGGTTTTAGTGCAGAATAACACTTTTGTTAGTTGAACAGAACGTTTTCATAATGCTGTACAGGCATTAGCTTAGTTGGTTAAGAATAAATAATACAGCTTGACTGTACTGTAAAATTTTGGTGGCAAGATCCCACATGTGTCTAGTAATGTACTTCCACTCCACATGCGCATGGATTGACAATTGTAATGGCAGAAGTATGGTGGTGAGATCCAGTGCACACGTGGTACTGGCAGTACATTATTGCGTATGCTTGGTATCTCCCCACCATATTCATTTCACCTTTTCAGAATGCAGAAGCATTGAGAGGATAGAATTAACTATACACTACACCTACATCTCCAGCATTCCTGTTCCAACACCATACTTCTAGCTGACTGCCTTTTCCCACTGCTTCCCTCTACAACCAGTCCCACTGCCGCCTAAGTCCTTCATCTTTCTCCAATCCTTCCCCATAACCCATCACATCTCTCCTTTGCCACCTAAGTTCCACCACACTCACAAGCATCTCGCATTCCCTCTAGCCTCCATCACCACACCCCCTTCTAACTTAATGTGACACTAAACTCAGGAGTTAAATCTTTAAAATGCATTCAAGTACCTTAACTATTAGCAAAATTGTATCTTATTTGTGTATCACTCGGTAGATCCTCAAATCATCTCTGAATTGGTGCTGACACTGTCCTTCCTTCTGGAGGGTGGCTACTTTTGTTCCCCATGGTCCCTGAAGTAGTCACCGCTCCGAGCTCACTCCCGTGATGGACTACAATCTCATGTTTAGTTTACTAATTTGTATTGAGATTAGTCTATCATGGGAGCAAGCTTGGAGTGGTGTAAGGGAGCAGATGGTAGTCAATAATAGAAAATCACCCGCACTCCATACAGCCTGCATAGCTCGAATAGAAGATTGGTGCTCGAAGTGACAACACGGATGGCACCGTTTCAGATACAGTCAATAATAGAAGTCACCAGCACTCAATGATGCGTGCAAGAAGTATAGGCACTTTTTATTAAATTGTCACATGCGTCATATAGCCAACGTTTCAGGGCCCCATGGGGTCCCTTCTACTGGGCGACATAGCTGTATGAGGCATGTGACAATTTAATAAAAAGTGTCTATACTTCTTGCACACATCCTCGAGTGCTGGTGACTTCTATTACTGACTGGAGCAGATGGTAGAACACCCACCCAATGTAGTAATCACAGGTACAATGCACTGCAAGCTTCTTTGCAAAAAATTTGTAAACATGCATTGATCGTAAGATCACTGTTGCTGAATTTACTACTTTTTGCAAAAGATGGACTACATTTTTTTTTCCTGCACTCTTTAAAAAAAAAAATATATATATTTATTGTACAGACAGTTTTCCTCTTCTACAGAGTGTAGCCATGTAAATCAGTCCAGAGCAGCAAGTGGGCTAACGGTATATATCCTTTCCTACATTCTTTAACTTAAATGTTTGTTTTACAAATACTCCACTCCACTGTGAAATTAGTATTTAAGGTATCTATGTGTTAATGCTTAAAACAATGAACCATGTATTTTTAATCAGTTCCTGCAGTTAAAGTGGAATGTAATGAATGTTGTGGTGAGTTCGATATTGAATGTACTGGTAGCTGCTGCCAATTTCCCGACAATAAAATTTACTTGCATTTTTCAATAGTGTCTTTTTAAATGCAGCAATCAGGGTGCTACTTTACTAAATATAACTTGTTATATTTAAAACAACAAGCTTATTAAGGCCCCATTCACACCTATGCGTATTGTAATATGCGCGTCTGTCGCGCGACCGTCACGCGATTCCAAAGGCTACTTGGCAGTATACTAATGGAAAACGCCCTACAAAACGGACCAATACGCAGCAAAAAACGCTCCGGGACCTTTTCATGCGTGGGCCGTTTTGTAGTGCGTTCGGGACGGGCGGAAATACGGACAGGTGGGAACGAGGCCATTGACTACAGTGCTATTAATTTTTTTGACCGTTTTGTAGAGCGTTCATCGAGCGTAGGACGCGCTACAAAACGGTCAGGTGTGAATGGGGCCTTAAAGTGAACCTCTCTGCCATTTTCAAACTTTTGAAAGTCCTGCCGAAGGATATACATCAAAAGTTTTCCTATGTTTTATTTGCTGGATAAGCTTCTTCTGTTCATTTCTCTGACTCAGCTTTACCTTGTTAGTAGGGGAATAACTTCCCCTTAAAACAAACCAGTGCTTTGCCTTTTCAGGGTTGCTTTAAAGTGAACCTGTGGAGAGAAACACATGATTAAACCAATATTTACCTGGTATTGAACGTCCAGGAGCAAGCACACAAGATCTGTTCTTTGTTCAGCATCCTGAAATCTTGGAATACTGCTCAAAGCTGCCCACTCCTCTCTATTGCAATACACTAATAGTGAGACTGCATCTCATACTTGTAGGCCAATGGTGTACTTGTAGGCAGGGGGAGACAGCCACGGAAACTAAGCATGGCACCTTGCTATTAGAAGATGCTGGGGTACATAACAAAGGAACAACCCTAGAGGTGCCTGTTGTAGAAGGCCAGCTCCCTCATGTGTCAGGACTAGGAACTACAACTTAATTAGTTCTGAGTTCTGCACAGTTTAAATGGCCCAGAGCTTCTAGCTTGCAACTACCAAAACATTCATGCTCAGTCTTGAGGGCAAGCTCTAATTTCAAGTCAGCAACCGTAGTCCATAGGCTGGTTTCCATCAGGCTCCCTCTACAGTGTTAATTAAGTCAACTAACATTTTTTGTCATAGTTTTCGTCATCTGCATGTTTTCACTGAAGAAAACTAAATAAAAAATTAGTTAATAGAACTAAAACTATGAAAAAAATACATTGAAATTTTCTCTACTGGAGATTAAGTCGACGAAACTAAACTAAAACTAAAATAATTCAGATGACTAAAATGTAACTGAAACTAAAATGCGCATTTCAGTCATCTGAATTCTTTTACAGGGTTATTCACTCGGCTGTCGGAGGCAACAATGTTCGGCTATTCACTACGGCTCAGTACGGCTGATTTCAGCCATAGATCAGCTGAAATCAACCGTACAACGGCTGCTTTCGGCTGCACTTCGGTCAGCCAAACATGCTCTGCATGTTCGGCTAAGCCGAAGTGCAGAAGGACTTTGACTCAGCCGATCCAACATCTGGATCGGCTGAGCCTAAGCTCCGGCAGTTCACTCATCCCGTTCGCCCCTACCGAGCAGAATAAGAAATCAATTAAAAAAGTTGAAAAAAAAAAAGTTGAAAAAAAGATTTTGAAAATGTAAATAAATTTAAAATATTAAAAAAATTAAGGTTTTTTAAAAACTATTTTTTTAAACAATAATAACAAACAATTGGGCAGAGCTAGCAGTGACAGCTAGCTACGCCCAACTGTTTTCTATTGGCCGGCACCTGCTAAAGTCTTCTAGCAGGTCCTGGTCAATGAACAACTGGGCGGAGCCGGTTGTGAAGTCATGGTCGGCTTCGCCCAGTTGTCATAGTTTAATGATAGTTCAGCATTCCCACTTCATTTGGGGACACTGATCTGTGATTACAACTGGGTCGGAGCCAGCTGTGAGATCACGTCTGGCTCCGCCCAGCTATCATTTGCAAGGCGTTCAGCCGGCCGCTCGCCCCTCTTCAGCTGTCACTTCGGCTCAGTCGGGCCGAAGCATATACCTTTGGCTAAGCTGAGCCGCTCAGCCGCCTTCGGGAGCTGTACGGGCTGTAGTGATTAGCCCGTACAGCAGCCCTTCGGTTTAACTGAACCGAAGGGCTCCCGCAACTGAAGCTGGCCGAAGGGTCAGCCGAAGCTACAGCTGATCCTTCGGCTAGCTTTGTGAATAACCCCCTTAGTTTTAGTCTAGTTTTGTCAACTAAATCTCCAGTAGAGAAAATTGCAATGTAATTTCATCATAGTTTTAGTCCTATTAACTTATTTAGTTAGTTTTAATTATTTTTCATCAGTAAAAATGTGCAGGTGACAAACTATGACAAAACATTTTAGTCGACTAAACTAACACTGCTCTACACAATTTTTATGGGGACTCTTGCCCCCTTTTACCCAGGCTTAGTCTATGAGTCTAACCTTCAGCACCCACTATACCCTTGGGAAGGTCAGCGCGGTCACTAGGCACACCAGCCCTCACTGCCAGAAGAGAAACCCTATAGTTGCCATGCATCTTTTTTTTTAGCTTTCCAGCCCACAAGGACGGAATGTCCAATTGGATTTTATTAGAACAGCGTAATATTTACTCAAAGTAATAGTCAATTAATGGAACCAGTACATAATTAGTGTCCATATAGATGTAAACTATCTTCTTGGCTTGTCTTTCTCCTAGGACACAAGGTTTATTCCCATTACAGAGCACACAAGTGATACAGGATAATTCTTGGCCCATGTTAACAGGAGAAACCCAGCCGCATACTCCACAGGCCTTTTTGCTCTCTACTCCTAGCCCTGATCTACCTGCCCTTATAACCCAAGACAAGGGACAATGATTGATAGACAGGTTGCCTAAAAACCAGAGGGTGGGGCCTAGTCTTAAGCGACCTAACACCATACCTCCCAACTAAATGGACTGTGCCTTTTTGGAACCATGTCTGTCTGTCCCTTTTTCCTCCTCAGTTGTCCTCTTTTTGGTCTGATGTATAGATATATATGTAAAACTTTTATTAAAATACCAAAAGTGTTATTCTGCACTAAATCCTTTATCTCATTTTTTAATATCTTGTTTGCTATTTTTCAAATCCAGTATAAAGGAAAATTAATGGTGAGAAAAAAAATAATTCTTGGTTTTAAATAATAATTTTTGTCTTATAAATTCTTAATGGTCCGCATATCTGGGGACTTGGCAGGGGTGTGTACATTGCCTGAATACATTGTGCTGGAAGGAGTCCCTCCTTCTCATCTCAAGCAGTTAGTATATGCATACCCTGTAAAATGCCTGTAGTACAGGGTAAGAATCAGTTAAATTATGCTTTTATCTCCACTGGTTTTGATGAATAGATAAAATAAAAGTACAGAAAAGCAATGTGAAGGAAAATAAATGCAAAAAGTGTATTACAGTCAAAATATTTTTAATTCTAATTAGACAATCTAGCAATTGACTCTCTGCATAGCTAAAATAGTGAAACCAGTATTCACTGTGGCAGCTTTCTGTGTCACCTACCTTGCCACAGAACAGATATATGTTGTGCAGCGGCCTGTGAGAAAGCAGTATAAAGCCCGATCTCAGGCAATTATAGCAGTCTATCTAAATACCTTTACTAATTTGTAATGAATACACAAGCACCCTATGGGAAAAAAGTGTCCACAGACAGGTTTTTATTTTGAATACTGCCATATGTGCCTGAATGTTAGGGGTAGGGTATGAGAGGCTTTGTTTATCTGAAACTGCATTTAACCAATGGTCAGGGAACAGTGCTTATACAAGGTTTTTTTTAAACAGTGTGCTTCTTTAGTATTAAGATGTACTTTTTTAAGTACAGTACATCTGCATGCGTCAGACCCCTGCTGCAGTCTTATAAAAACACAGTGCCCCTTTTGCTTGATTATGGCACAAACTGATCATCTTTAAGAGCACTTCTCATAGACATTTTTGTGTTTATAGGAAAGTTTTGTTCTGCTCCTAAGTGTTTTTTTGTTTACTTGATTATTCATAATTAATGATATAATGTAGTACAGTTTGTATTTTTTTTTTTTTTTTATTTTTATTCTGGCTTTCAGGCATTCAATAAGATCCTCGCTGCAAAAATACAAGAGGAATACTTAAGCTTATGTCATTTCTTAAGGTAATTTAAGAACAAGGAATATATCATGTGAACTGTAATTTGCCATGTATTAAGATCTAAATATTAGTATTTTCTAGATATTTTAGTATTATTTCACTGTGTTATATACATTTTCTTACAATTGGCACGGTGACTGGTTATTGAACAAAATACATGTTGGTATTTAGAAAAACCACAAGAGGGCATAAGCGCGCTTAAGACTTTTCATAACTTAAAGTGACACTAAACTTAGAAATTCAATCTTAAAAACGCATTCAAGAACCTTAAAGTGACATTAAAGGCAAACATTTTTTTCAATCCCCCCAATGTAATGTTAGCACTTAAATTATGTCTCTTTTTCCGATCTTCCTCTTCTTTCCTGATGTTTTCAGCCTTCTCTCCAGCGGTCTGACAGCTCTGTCCCTCCGATCCAGCGGTGTCTGCATGCGGGTGCACGCGCCCATAGACTTACCTTGCGTCCCTCATCGCGTCCCGGGCGAAAATGAGAACTGCCATGCGCGCGCCCCAAGATCCTATGCGGCCACTCGAGAAATTTCTCATTTTCGCACGGGACCGCGGATGGAACACAGGTGAGTCTAAACTGCTGTTTGAGCGGGGTTTAAAAAAAACAAAAAACTTTTTGCATATATCTACTGCTTGCTATATATAACTACAGGCTAGTTATAACATCAGCATTGTAATAGGAATACATACTAGAGTTGTTTTTGATAATGCAATCAAAGCTTACTTGAAAAAAATCCCTTTTATGTAGAGAGTACCGCCTTCCCTCTGCCCATCATTGTCACCAACTTCCTGGATTGCCATTTTGCTTTGTATCTCTCTCTCCCTGCTGCTTGATGTGATGCAATCTCAGTTTCTCAAGACTATTTATCCCATCATGCATTCCTTCCAGCAAGCAATGATAATTTTACCTTGTTCAGACATTGAGTTGCAGTTCAGAAGGCAGGCTCCATGAGAGTGTGAGAGTGGTGACACAGAGCAGTGCACATTGAAAGGACTAATCGAAATGGTGTCAGTGCATTGAGGAAATACATACCATGGGCATCTTCAATAAGTAAGTTTAAAAACTTCTAGATAGATATAGTTATTAGGATAGAATTATGGAAATTCAATACACACATACATACAGTATTTGGTTTTAGTTTTTGACCATTGATACACCTTAAAGCTATTTGGCTGCAGTTGTCCTTTAACTGAAATGGCCTATTATAAACCATCCTGAGTATATTTCTGTTTTGCCAGTGAAAATAATGGATGCTGGGAGGGGTATTGATTCTGAAATCCACCACGGAGTACTGGATTTATTACACCGCTGATCAAATTAAAGTCTTTGGAAAATATGAATAGAGCTACCGGGTTTTTGCAAATAAACATTGCTGTAAAATAAACACTTTCTGAACAGGAGGTGTTAAAGTTTATATTTAATTTATTTTTAATAGAACTATGCCAAAGCAATTTCTGTATGATTACATTCATCGGATTACTATCGGCAAATGTCTGTTTATAAACAAACACTAGGTGGCAATCTAATTTCCTCTGCAGACTGGTGGAAATCGAACATGTAGCACAGCAGAACCCCCCCTAATATTAGCATATCATTCCACAGGGACTAATGAGAATAAGGACAGAAACAATGCCATTTACCTGCAATTCTCCATAAAATATAGACACTTGACACATAACTTCTAAATGTCTGTTATTTTATGCTTGAGAGAATTATTCAAGACAAATCAGATATTAGCATTATGCTTCTATAAAGTGACTGAACTCTTCCATTAAAGCTCCGTATCAGAGCAAAGCAATATAGAATTGTTGTAATAAAACATTTTTCATATTAAATCTCGTATCGGTTACCCACAGAGAGCACAATGGACTTTTCTAATCCAATAGTAATTTTTTTCCTTGCAAATGTTATTATTATCAGACAATATTTAATATGAAGTTTCTTTTTAAAAAAACAGGCAGTTATGGTAAACTGTGATGCATGGTGGGTATTACTAAAAATGTAGGTGTATGAAAAGCCTAACTAAAGTATATTTAGTTTGCTGAACCACCGTGTATCATAAATATTTTTTTTAAATAAAGTGCTGTTTTCATTATTTGTTCGACCTGTTGCATCTCAGTACTGCTGTTCTCTTGCAGCCTCTTTTTAGCCATTTCCTGTCTATGTGCACTTGTAAGGCATTCATAATAACGAGTTTACTGATGGTGACAGCAGTGGATCATGCCAGGGTAATATGTGTGAAATGGCCACTTGGGGTCTGCATCGAAAGCCTGTGTGACAGGGTGACAACTCAGGAGCACAATTAAGAGGCAAGGACAGAGTGTTATCACCCTATTAACAGGAAGTTCTTGAACAAGGACCTTTATGGCAGGTGTTTATTTAAAAGAAAAGGATTGGGAGAGTAAAATATTCTCTTCCGTATACTTAGAGCCAGCATGGGACACTGCAGTTGCCACGCGCCTGCTCTACATATACCGAGAGCCGAGTGATCATGTAATCTCTGATCACTCAGCTTATGGCTTCTCGCTGCAGAGAGCAATGACTGCCAGTCACCACTCCCTGTAGGAATTCCCACCTCCTCTCTCCTCATTAGAGGGACAGACAGAGGAGAGGGTGGACACAGCTGGCTCTGGTTCCAGAGAGGCAGAACCAGCTGTCAATCAAGATTGTAGGGATCTTCCTAGCTGCAGCATGGCTCTGCACTGTCAGGATATAGCTGGCAGTAGCTCACAATATGCTGATTTGGATAACAGAAGTACATTAGTAAAAAGTGAGAAGTAAGGACAAAAAAACAGGGTTAAATTTGACTTCTCTTTTAATGAATGTTGCGGATATAAAAATATTGAAAATTACTCTTGAAATTGCATTAACGTTTTAAAGCATTTATGAGATTTTAGTGATTGAGTTTACATTTAGAGCTGGAGAGAAAGAGAGAGACATGTAGCACAAGAAAGATGATAAATTCATGCTCCGCTTTGTGCAAGCAGGGTTGGCTTTATATGCATGACTACTCTTTAAACGGAACAGACTACAGTTCTCTTGTTTAATTCAGTCACAAATGTCCAGAAGGGGACAGGAGAGAGACAGTTATCACAACTGATAAATGTTGAGGCTTGGCGCTCCTTGCTTTAAACCTGCTCTCCTAAACACTGAGCCCTGAATGTCATTATGTTACATGCAGCCCTGACAATCATTTTAAAAGGTCCATTTTGCTCTGCCATGCTCAGGTGAATTTCCCTGTAAGTGTTGGGACCCTGTCTAAAGCTGGAGTGTCACTAGTTAAATTGTGTGCCTGTTTTTTAGCTGAGCTGCAGCCAGCCTGAGCTTTGTTGTCTCCGGTTGTCTGAGTTATAAATAATGACCCTCCCTAGCTAATCATTGAGGGTTTTATTTCAGTGGTAGAGCTGAGAGAAAGGGATAAATGTTTGGCACATACCTTCCAGAAGTTCTATCTCTCCTGAGCCTTGTCCCAGCCAGAAGCCTGTGCTGAAGGCTCCATGGAATTTCAGCCACCCTGCTGGAGGGTATATCCAGAGGAAGCTAGGCAGAAAGATGGCTGCCTGAATGGAGCATCTTCAAAGAAGTCTTCTGTCCTGAAAAACGTCCAGGGAAAAGCTGAGTAGGAGCTGTTAGGTTAGACATTTGCCAAGTGACTGGCGCCCAATGGTTCTTATACCCCACTGTAAATCAAAAATTCTGTCTTGAGAGTGAAATGCTTGCTTGCCACAGTATCATGGCGGGTCATTCTGAACCATCTGGAGAGTTGAAGTGAAGTGAAACAATTTTGGCATCCTATGTGGGGCCTGATGAGATTTGTGTTGTGTTTACCCATAGCAACTGGCAGATGATCATAAGATGTATTCTTGGAAATGTAAAGATTGTGCATTCTGTGACTGTCTTTGAGAAGTAAAGCAAAGAAGAGTGTCACAAGGCTACTGTTCAATGTGGAGAAGTGATTTTGTTGGAAGAGATCACCTGCATTTGTCAGTTTGAATGATGATCACAGGATTGATTTTGGCTCCAAAGTACTTTGCCTCATGACCTGTTGGTTGGAAAGTATACCACATACATGCTGAGGAAGAGGACAAAGTTACCACACCCTACTTGCTATAGCCGTTCTGTGTGCTATAGCAAGAGGAACTGTTGTGCTGATATTCTGTGGTGGCTGTCCCACAGCAACAAACCACCACTGTCTCTCCATTCCAGAGGGCTGGAGACATGAAAGTAAGTGGTCTAGTCGTGCCTGGTGGAGGGACCTTCATCAACACAGGATTGCAGGGCATCCCATGTGGAAACTGAAAGAAGTTATCAGCTGCCATGCTCCCTTGGAGCCATTGCAATCATTTTGAAGACTTTCTGTTATCTGTGATACAGCTGAAACTTCCACCTGGTGTGCTCAGAGTAGACTGCACTACTGGCAGTACTTCCAAGGAACCTGTATCTACTACAAGGAAGGATTGTCAGCTAAACAGAAAGGATAAATTATTGCTTTAGTATCTGCTGTAAACTGTCCTGAAAGAGATCAGGTCCAGCGAAACAGATCTCTGATCCGTTTGTTTTTCTGGACCCGACCAGAGTAAGGGGTAACTGGGTGTAAACAGGCAGTTTCGCTTAAAGCCCATTCTGGGCGAAAATTAACTTAATTAGTTAGTTCACACAAGCTGTCAACAAACTTGAAAGCTTAACAAACTAACTGTTATGCAGGCAATCTCTTATTTAGTTTTTTTGCATAAACCTTGGGGAATGGATAAACAACCTGTGGAATGCAAACTGCTATATCATAGTTGTTCCACATGTGATTCCCAAATTCCTCAAAGACTGATTTACTATATTCATTTTCTTTGAAATTACAATCTCTTGGGCAGAAAAGCCAATGCAATAAGCACGTGGTGTATTATGCAAATTGTTTTAACAAGATAGCATTGACTTCATTAACATAATAAGTGGGAACAGTGGCAGTACCACATAGCAAGCAGGTCATACTTGTAATAAATCA